AGACAGCAGACAGCAGAGGGAGCCCTGGGCGGGTGAAGTCCTGTGTGCCTGTGCTGCTGACATGGGCACCGCCATGACATGGACCAAGGCTCTGACCAGAGGATAATAGGCAAAGCCTTTCCCCATGTGGGTCAGGCCCTGACTCGGCCACGCCTTCCTCCTCTGGTCCAAGTTTGGTGTTTATGGATGAGGGATCAGTCCTGAGAAAGCCAGCAACTGCAGCTTCCTGGAGGTGCTAGGCTGGGTTGCTGCCTTCAGACATCCCGCAGAGAACAGCCAACCCCTCCAGGATGCTGTCTGTCCATAACAAACACGCTGAGGGCCCAGGTTGCAGAGGAAGGAAGTAACTGAGGCTCCATCGCAGCACACGCAACCACCGGCTGCCAGCTCTTATTTTGTCCCCTCAAGTCCCCTAACAACACTTCCTGTTTGGAGACCTCACTTCCTGTTTCCATCTATTTCTTCTAGCTGTAGGTCACCAAAGCCTTCCCACACTCTCCTCCTGCCTTCTGTCTGCAGTTGTAAGGAAGTTGACTTATTTCTGAGGAAGGATTCTAAGCCTGATGAGAGGACCCAGATTAACAGGATTTTTCTCTATGAAGTGGGTGATATGGGAGGAGGGTGGTGGAGCGGAACCGTGGCTTGAACCCAGGGTGTCAGCAAAAACTCCCCCAGTGAGCTGTATCAGCAGATTTCTTAAAACAACTGCATTATGAAACAAGGCTCTGCTATCCTGCCCAGGCTGCCTTTGACCTTGTGATACTCCTGGGTCCGCCTCTGAAGTGGCGCAGAACACAGGTGTGCCCAATACAGGTAGCTGTAAATGTGTTTTGATGCCAAGCCCAGGTATTAATAGCAACTGCCTGTGTTAGAAAGTCCCTGGTTCTGGGGTGCTTGCTATCCTCTGAGACATTAACACACTGAGCCTGGAACTTGACTAGGGTAGAGCACGTGTTGTGGATTACGTATGGATTTGCACGTGGGCATAGTTGAGAGAAATCAAGGGACCTGCAGGGCTTTGCTGAGTACTGAGTTGTGGTTTCTTTCGGGACAGGGCAGGAAATATCCAGGGATATTTGTCTATCAGAATAGCAAAAGCTATTCAAAGAGCCGAGTGGGGCAGGAATAAAATGGCCCAGAAAGTCCATAATTGGGGGAGAAACTGAAGGCCATGCCAAAAGCCTGCAGGCTGCCCAGCCTACCACAGTCATCGCTGTTCCTACTCCCTCAAATCTGAACGGAGGCCAGGCTCAGAGTTCAGAGTCTGTTGTGGACGTCACACAAGGAGAGGTAGGCGGTGGACCATCTCCCAAACAAACATGCCTTCATCAAGGCTGTGACTCCGGGTGTGGGACTCTGCTGGCCAGACAGCTGGGCATACGAAGCATGAGAGCGTCGGAGAAGAAAGCTGAACAGCCGAGGAGCCAGACCTCAGACATGTTGGAGACCATGACCCTGGAAATCAACAAACCAGAGCTGTCTCCAAAGCGTGAAGGGACGTGTGCAGGGAGGTTAGGGACCAGACAAAGGTCCTACCCAGATTCCCGTCTGGGTCGTGTCTCTGTGTCAAAGGGACATCTCCTCTGTGCTCAGGGGCAAGATTCCTCAAGTCTGGGAGGCTTAGAAAAAGTAAAATAAATAAAAATAAAAAAATAGAGAAACAAACAAAAAAATAAATAAAGGCATCTGCTAGCTTCCTTTTTTCCTCGCCCACGCGGCATCATGAATGAGCCTAGGAGGCGAGAGGCTGGCAGGTGGGCACTGTTTGTGGCCCAGATGATAAGCGTTTCCTGCAGGGGAAAAGAACGGAGGGATGAGGAGGTGACATCATGGGGGACTCTTACACACTTGAGCTAAAAGCAGAAGTGGAGAGGTTACATTAAAGATCAGTCCGTTCCAGTCAGACTCCAAAGTCCACGACAGTGTTCTGAGGAGTTGAGTCTGCTCTGGGTAACAGATTCACAGAGAACATACTAACTACTCGTGGCATCCATTCGTGGCACCCACGTGGCTGGGACTCTGAGGCTGCTTTCCTCACAAGCCACACATCTGCCTTGCTGCTGGCTTCCATGGAGTCCCTTAAAGTACCACGAAGCCAAGATCAGAGGGCGTGGTAGGGTCTAGTGTGTTGCTGGGGACAGATAATATGTCATGGGGTGGGGACCAGAGAGGTAAGGGGAACATTGCAGAGCCCCAGGGCCATACAGGCTCTCGATTCCTTTATGTCTGTCCAGGTGTTTTCCCGAGATAGCAGTCATGATTCTGGGGAAATACAAGGAAGAGCAAACTATGTTTTTCTGTTGAGGAAGTGTGCATATGTGCATAGTAAGTTTTGGCGTGGCCAGTGCCTGTCCTCCCACGGGATGGAATTGGCCCGGAGGAAAGGAGACATTTTTTTCTTCAGAAGGCTCCTGTGGATCTGAGTGGGCTTGAGAGGGGACATAGCAGCCTGAACTCTCAGGTCTGAAATACCCATGAGGTGAGGAGAGTTGCTCTTTGAAAATAGGAGGCACTCCCAGCTTTGTGTGTGACTCTATAGTCCTCAGCCACTTTTTTTTTTTTGAGTCCAGGCAGCCACTGCACTAGCCAGAGTCAGTAGAGAGGCCTGGAAGGTGACAGGATCCACTATAGGCCTGCTCCAGGTCAGCTCTGACTAAGGTACCTTAGTCTTACCCTTGTCCCCAAGAACTGGAATGCTTGCTGCCCATCAGCCTGCTCAGCCTTAAGGAACACTGATGTCTCCTGGGCATGACTTCCTTGATCACTCATCCGGGAGGCCAACACAGACTGGAGGCTGCTTGCCAAGGAAAGCAGATTTGTCATCTACCACTGCCCACCTCCGTTGCCCAGGGGTCTCTCCTTCAGAGATGGGCTAATGACCTGGATCCCACCCCCATATCTTAGGTACAGCATGACCCAGCCTTGTTGTATGAAGCCTAAAGTTGTGTTTGAAGTTTAAATGACTGCTTAAGAGATCTGTAAAACAAAACGCCTCTGACCTACTGTAAGCTCCACTTGCCCAAGGACGGATGACATGCTGGAGTGCTAGGGGCTGTCGTTCACGTAAGATAACAAGCCATGAGTTTTCACTTCTGTAAATGAGGATGGTTACCCCTACAGGATGTGCTTGATCACATGAAGGCAGGAGGTGTGTCAGGGTGTATTCGTGCCCCCCCACCGCCGTCAGATAAAGGCAGGAAGTAGGTAGCCTTGTGGGTTTTGCCTTTATAAGCACCTGACTAACGTAAATCACAGCCATTCCATGGGAATCCCAGGTATGGACCTGGCCAGGGTCTATGTCAGTTTTTAATAAAGCTTGTTTCCAATCTGGCTCAAAATTATGGTAGTGGTCTTATTCTTGCCCGGTGGGATTAACAGGTCGTGTGACACCCTCTCTACCTGTATAGGGGGCCGGCACAGAGATGCATCCGTCGCTCCCCTCGATTTCTGTACAGAGCCTCTAGACAGGGAAGAGGTCAGCTCATGACCAGTGTCACCCTGACTACCCTGGATGTGGAGCCAAGAAGGCAGCCATCATTGCTCGGTCCCTGAAGTTTATGCAATGCTGGGCGTGGCCTCTCAAGGCTCACACCCAGGTTGCTTCCTTCTTTCATTTGCTCTAGCAGCTTCAGTCCTAACTTTCTGTAAGCTCTCCACTCTATTGCCTGGGACAGCTCTCCCAGCAAGTTCTGCCCCTGACACACTCCAAGTCTCAACCCTGCTCTCCCCACAAATCATCTCCCTTGGACTCTGCCCAAGCTCCGCCATATTCCAGTGGGCCTGTTGTGGTCTCCTCCCTAACTTCCCCGTTGACGCTGTGCCTTGCCTCCAGAGTTTTCACACCGTCTGCCCTTCTGTGTGTCCTTGGCCCCGTACTTTCTAGTCATTTTGACTTCTGCCCTCTTTCCCTTCGGTAGATCTAGTTAGCTACAGTGTCAAATGGCTTGATAGCCCCTGACCTGCACTGCTACCCTCCCAGCCTTTTCCCTTCAGTTCAGCAAGCCACCTGGAGTGCCTTGGGTCCTCGGGATAGAAGGGAAGACCCCTTCCCAGCGAGCTCTTTCCTTACAGCCTGTCTCCTTAGTGTTGGACTCCTACAGTGGCCTGGCCACCAGGGGGCAGAACACTGGGTGTGGATGTTCCCTGCTGTAACTTGGAATCAGCCGCCCTACCACCACCCAGGTTCTGGCTGATTTTCATGTTTTGTTTGTTAGAGTCAGGGTCCCACGCAGCCCAGATTGGCCTCTGGCTAGTTGTGTAGCTGGGGATGACCTTTGAACTCCGAATCTTCCCAACTCTGCCTCCCAAGTGCCACCACGCCCGCCCGACTGTTTTGAGTCTTCCAAACTCTGTCTCCAGCCTCACGGCCTCTGGAGCCAGCACAAGGGAGTCGCCCAGCCCGGGAAAACCCTGTATTTCTTATTGCCTCTTATGATGGAGATTCACTCAAGAGTTCCAAAGAAAGGTGTCCTGGTGGCACCTGGTAGAGAGACGCAGGGGGACAAGTTCAGGCTAGGCCAGCCAGGGCTACCAGTGAGACTCTGTCACAAAACAAAGTTAAATTAATTAATTAACTAACTAATTAATTAAAGGCCTCAAAGAGCTGATGGCCTGGGGTTCATTTCTCCTGGGACTTGGCAGGCTCAATTCAGCTGAGCCCTCCTTTACCCTCTCACGCCCCTTCGCAGAATGTACTCGAACTCACACTACTATGAATTTCCCCATTTTGGGCTCCTTTCCCTGAAAGGTCAAGGACAGAGATGGAGGCAGTCACCAGGGCTGTGGTTTTGTCAGAGGTGACACGCTTCAGGTTGGACTTGAATTTCTTGCATCTGAGCTAATTGCTGTGCTGATGCACCCTCCTATAAAATTACAGAGTGGCTCACCCAGGGCTCCTGTGTCTGTTGCAAGTCCCAGAGGCTTTCCCTCCCGAATGCTGCCTGCTGGGCTCTGAGGACCAGCCTATCCTACTCCTGGACCCATTCTTGGGCATTAGCCCCAATGGCGGCCCTCACAGACCTCTCTTTTATGTACCGCTGGTTCAAAAACTGCAACCTGGTTCGAAACCTCTCAGAGAAGTATGTCTTCATCACGGGCTGTGACTCTGGCTTTGGGAACCTGTTGGCCAGACAGCTGGTTGACAGGGGCATGAGAGTGCTGGCTGCTTGCCTCACCGAGGAGGGGGCCCAGAAACTCCAGCAGGAGACCGCCTACCAGCTGCAGACCATCCTCCTCGATGTCACGAAGACCGAGAGCATCAAGGCGGCAGCCCAGTGGGTGAGGGACCAAGTGGGCGAGCAAGGTGGGGTGAGCTGCATTCTTCAACATTCTCTCTCTCTCTCCCTGCCTCCCTCCCCCCACCCTCTCTTCCTGGGACCCTGACGTGCAAATAGAATTGGAGAGATGAAGTAGGGACAGGCCAGGAGGGTTTGGTGAAGTTGAATCTGGAACCATTGCATGAGTTGGCCAGTTGACATGAGACAGGAGCAACCTGAGGACATTTTCTCCCTCAGAGGTTCAGGACAGAGGCAGCAGCTGGAAAGTTCTGGATGTTCAAACCTCTAAAGATGGAGGTGCCTTTTGGAGACTTCAGGAGTCCCAATATTGGCTGGAGTAGAAGTGCAGTCACATTTCCTGGAGGGCTGAGGTGAGGGGCAGCAATGAAGGGGTGGGAGGGAGCCCAGGAGTGGAGCAGGCCCATCTCTCCTGTACGCTGCTGCCTCCAGCGGAGGTTGCTCCCGTTGGGAAATGAGCCTGTGTTGGGGACTATACCAAGAATACACGGGGACTTGCCTGGTGAACTTGTGGCACGCAGGGTGTGGACACAGGGTTGCTTAGTTATAGGAATAGAGACTGCGGGGAAATATTTGCTTCCCAAGAATCGATAGGCCGCTTCCTGGGTCGGGTCAATAACCCTTTTTAACATTTAGCCCTATCCAGTACAGAATGCATTTCAGTTGTTTAAAAATTATGTTGTTGTTATTATTATTATTGGAGTGTGTGTGTATGTGTATGTATGTATGTGTGTGTATGTGTGCATGTGTGTGTATGTGTGTTTGTGTGTGTGGTATGTGTATGTATGTGTATGTATGTATTGTGTGTGTGTATGTGTATGTGTGTGTGTGTGTGTGTGTGTGTGTGTGTGTACAGTGCATGAAGAGGCCAGAAGAGGGCATTGGTTCTGTGGATCTGGAGTTACAGAAAAAGACAACAGCGTAGGAAAAAAATGTGTGTGGAAGTCAGAGGATAACTTTTGGAAGTCAGTTCTCTCCCTGAGTATTGAACTCAGTTCATCAGGCTTGTGCTGCAGACACCTTTATCTGCTGAGCCATACTACTGGCCCTCTCTTTACCATCTGTCTTCTCTCCTGGAATAAAGCCTCCTGAGAGAGGGTCTATGTCCATTTTACCCATTCCCTGTCCTTAGCACCTAGGACGATATCTGGTGTCCAGGAAGGTGCTCAATAAATGTTTGTTGAATGAGTTAGTTAATGAATAATTCAGCCAGGGCGAGCCTCTTCCACCATGCTGTCTCAGCCTGTTTCTGCATTCAGCCTCCAGCCATTCGCAATCATGACTCACTGGGTGTATCAGTCTCCCATCCTTGCTGTAACAAATCCATGCAAATGTAGTTGGCTAAACAACACACATTTATTACCCTATAATTCTGGAGGAAATAAGTCCAAAATGCTTCTCACTAGCCAAGGTCTCAACAGAGCTGCCTTCATTCTGGGGGCTCTGAGGCAGAACTCACTCCCAGAATTCCCTGCTTTTAGCAGCTGCCTGGCCCACTCCCTCTCCCGGTAAGCTTGGGCCATGTCCTCATCATACCTTTCGGTGCCTCTGGTTGTCTGGCTCCCGCATCCTTCTTCCTGCCCTGTGTGACCTGTGGCTGTGTGGACTCGCCCTATGAACTTGGGGTCATATCCCCAGCTTAAGGTCGGTTGATTGTGACCTGTGGTTGTGTGGGCTCGCCCTATGAACTTGGGGTCATATCCCCAGCTTAACACATTCTCAGGATGCTGCGATGGTGGCATCTTTACAGGACTTCTATTCTGCATGTGCCACGGGGCAACATCTTTCATGCAAGATGCACGAGGGATTGGGCGAGGCGATGCACACCTGCACCCTGGAGCTCAAGACACCGAGGCAGGAGGGTAGACCGCATCCTGTAGGCACAGCCTTAGAGTCGTTAGCCCTGCTCTGAACATCCTTTAATTATTCTTTAGGAAACAAACAAAAAATAATGCATCTTCTTTCCCCAGCACACTATCAGAGGCATCGGTGGTCTGTGGCCCTCTCTAGAGCACAGACCATGCACATGTTAGGATCTTTGCCGCCGAAGCCTAATTTTCTCCTCTGTAAGGCAAGTCCCCTTAGCTGGGGAAGCTCTAAGTCCTACCAGTCAGCTGTCCTCCTGGGGTCTCTCTAATCTGAAGAAGAGATAAGATGGGAGAGGCATGGCCAAGGTGGGGAATCCCAAGCTAGGGGGTTAGGGTTAGGGTTTGGGTTAGGGTCAGGGTTGAAGCTTGCATCCAGACCTGCCCTTAGGAAAGAGAGTGCACCATGACACGCCAGAGGGTGTTTTGAGGCACTGCTAATCAAAATGGAAAAGAATGGAGGGATCAGCGGTTGACACTCATGAAGAAGCTTGTACTGTTTATCGTCACTTTCCTGGTGGCATTTCACTCAGAAGGTGAATTCATAAAACGAATGAAAGGAATTGCTTCTCCCGCAGCCTCTGTCCCTAGCAGACTCCTGGCATTGTTTGATGAGGTACCCAAGGCCCAGGGAGGGAGGGGACACTTGTCCGAGGCTAGAATCAGAACCAGATCTAGAGCCTGGGTTTCTTCAACCCTAAGGCCCTGCAGAGCTGGGTAACCACACCGTCTTTCTCCAGTCACCTTCCCAATTTGAAGAGAACCCACATCCCATTCCCCCCCAGTATCATATTTAAATGTTGTTATGCATTTATCCGTAAATACTCTAAGCACACTTTTCTGTCAGGTCTCTGCATCTCTGGAGGCGTGGGACCCCAACTGGTTCATTTTATGTCTCCTTTGCTTATGTAACTGCCACAGAGCAGAAACAGGAGTGAATGGATGAAGTTTGCTAGGTGAATGAACCAACGATTTGGCCGTCATGAACTAGAGCTCTATCTACTTAGGAGAGTAGAAAAAAGGATACCTGATTGGTAGGAGAAGTCCAGCAGCAATCCATTTGTCTGAAAGTGCCATCTCTTACCCAAATCCCACGGCTTCAGTGCCATCGGTTACACAGCCTGGGTCACAGCAGGTACAGAGCTGGGTTATTGTGCAGACCGCAGGAATCAGGGAAATCAGAAGCGTCCCATCGGGAACACTGAGCACTCTGACCTTCAGTTTGCCGTAGCTCTCACAGCTGTCCCAAGCCGTGAATGACCCCATCCCCGAGTGTGTCTGTCCCCTGAGCTGTTGGGTAGTGTCCCATGGAGCTCTTGCAGAGAAGTTGCTCATTCCTGCATGGTTCTCTCTACCTTTCTCTCACACCCTAGGCCTCTGGGCCCTGGTGAACAATGCCGGTGTGGCTCTGCCCAGCGGCCCCAATGAATGGTTGACCAAAGAAGACTTTGTCAAAGTGATCAACGTGAACCTGGTGGGTCTGATTGAAGTCACCCTGAACATGCTGCCCATGGTCAAGAAAGCCCGGGGCAGGGTAGTCAACATGTCCAGTTCCGGTGGCCTTGTGGCCGTCATCGGTGGTGGTTACTGTGTCTCCAAGTTTGGTGTTGAAGCCTTCTCTGATAGCATCAGGTGACTGGGTCCTGGTACCAAACCGGGTGGGGGTCTTGGGGATTCACCACAGTCACAGGCCTGAGTGTGTCAGTGTGTGGGCAGAGTAGTTCTGGGGAGAAGAATCTAAAACGGGGCCAAGAGAAGCAGGGGGAGGGGACGGTGTGGGATGAAGGTAGAAGACACCAGGTGGACCTTCCCCTGGACAGGCCCAGAGTGAGGGAAACCCTGTGGGGGGCGAAGAGAGGGGAAGATGGAGAGAGAGAGAGTGCATAGAGGGAAGCCTGGAACCGAGGTGCCTCTGGAAGCCCCTCAGAAGATTCGGGCCTTTTACAGATCTCCTTATTCCTTTTCTCACATGGGTGATGTGTGTAGGGCTGGGTGGAAAGAACCTGGGAGGAGGCAAGACCTTGGCTTAGATTCTCCACTGACTTCCTGTCAGTTTTGCCCAATGCAAATTGCCCCAGACCGCTGGGTCAGTTTGGCAACGGTCTGAGGCCCCAAGCAAAGCTTATTTGCGTGAAGGCAATGTTGAAATTAGCTCTTATGGTGGGATGAACGTGGGAACGGGTCCCTCCAAAGGTGTCTGATGCTGGTCATTCTGAGGGTAGACCAAATGCCACTCTTAACCTCACAGGCGAGAGCTTCATTTCTTTGGGGTGAAGGTCAGCATTATCGAGCCGGGGAACTACCGGACATCCATTCTGGGCCAGGAAGCTCTACAGTCGCGCATGAAGAAGCTGTGGGATCGGCTGCCTCAGGAGACCCGGGACAGCTACGGAGAGGACTATTTCCGAGTCTGTGAGTCTCCAGGAGAAAGTGGGATTTCTGAGGAAGATCTGCAGGGTTTGGGGGTCACTCCAGATGACGGGACAGGGCCTCAGAGATCACACACACAGCCAATAGCAAAGCTGGGGTTTGAGATTAGCACCCAGCTAGCAGGGCCATGGGGGAGGTGGGGATGTGTGGAGACCCTGTGTGCTTTGGCACTTTTTCTCCACACGCCAGGTGCGCGTAGATCTTGTGAAAACAGAGAGGAGAATAGCAAGGTGATGAAGATCTTGTGTATGGGAGCCAGACCTCCTGCTTCCAGGCCAGGCTCTGTTTGCTATTTGAGCTTGGACATGGCGTGTGTGTGTGTGTGTGTGTGTGTGTGTGTGAGAGAGAGAGAGAGAGAGAGAGAGAGAGAGAGAGAGAGAGAGAGAGAGAGAGAGAGAGACTGTTTCCTTTTTAAGTTTGTTCTTGGCTTTTGTTTTGTTTTTCGAGAGGCAGGGTCTCTGGTAGCTAAGGCTGTCTTAAAAACGTATGTAGCTGACGAGGACCTTGACCTCTGCTTCTGTTTCCCAAACGCTGTAATCACAGGACTATGCCACCATGCCCAGCTTGATCATCTCATACCTCAGTCTCCCATCCGTACTCAGAGCTTAAAGATAGTGCTTAGGTCTTTAGGGGACACTTAAGGTCCAAACTACAACACTATACGTCAGTCAAGTCCACGGCAGGTCTGAAACTGCCCAGGAGTAGGAGCTTGTGCTCAGTGCCACGTTTTCCGCACATTATATATCAACAGCGACGCAAGCCAAGGCAGGAAGGCTGAGGGAGCTGTCTTCACTTGGAACATCTTTCACTGAGACTGTCACGCATCAGACGCTGGGGTGGACAGAGTGGCACACTTGCTGTTGTGGTCCAGGCTAACCTGGACCCACCCCTTTGGAACCTGGCAGAGTGTGCCATTTCTGCGCATGGCAAGCCGTACCCTGGTCCCTTTAAGAGACGAGCTCCGCCTACTTTCTTTCTGTCATTTCTCTGAGGAGGCAGGTCACTGACTGTCTGTCTGTCTGTCTGTCTGTCTGTGTCTTTTCTCTTCCCCCATGAGCTTTCCACATAAGCCCTACCTGATGGAGTGTGTCTCACACCCGCCATGGGACCTGCTAAAGGGTCGCTGCTGCCTATAGTTGAAGACACTGTAGGGAGGCAAATATCACACACATTTAGTGACAACTGAGGTTACATGTCATCGAGGGGAAATACAGCTGTAAAAAAAAGACAAGAGTGGGAGATGAAGCCTGCTTTCAGACTCTGGTATAAAAGAGCTTTCTCTGGGGTAACACATAAAAGCTGGGTGCTGATGGGCAGTGGAAACCGAAGACTTTATGAGAGATGCTCTGAGACCGGACATTTATTTTGAGGGGATTTAAAGAAACCAGCGGGTAAGGAGAAGTGAGGTGTAGCTGGGGGACGGGGTGGGGGTGGGGGTGGAGGATGGAGGGTGGGGAGTGGGGGGGGAGGGTAAGGGGGGCACCAGACAGGGTGATCAGCTCTGGTCTGACATTCTCTCTGGTGGCTGCAGACTTCCAAGTGACAGGATGGCAGTTCCAACAGGACAGGCAGTAGAAGATGGCAAGAAGTCACTGGATGCCTGGACTGTTTTCCACCAGCTGTGGATGTGGGAGGGGAGGGGGCCACGCAGGCTACAGCAGGCTGTGGACATGCAGGATGCAGACTGGGTCTATGTTAATGAACCCAGTGGGCGAAGGCCTCATTCACTTGTTGATTGGGGGAAAGATTTGTTCCTTAAAGAATCTTTTAGCTCTGGACATAACATCCTGTGGGGAGAAAAGAACGTCCTTAGGTGGGACGTCAGTTAGGGTCTTGGGAAAATTCAACCCAAATCATTTGAAAAGAAAAGAATTTCTTATGTGGCTTAAAAATCGAGCAGTAGTGGTCTCCGGGTACAATCTGGTCCATCATTACAATTAGGGTGTGGTTTTGTTCCTTTCTCTCATTTCTGATTGTTTTGTATCAGCACATGCCCATGGTTCATCTTCTCCAAAAGTAAGCTTTTAGGTGACCCGGAGGTCCCATTGCACAGGATGAGCCCGAGCCTCAGAGGAACATAAGGTTCTGATTGGCTGGGCATGTGCCCATGGATCCCACAAAGGGAAATCAGCAGCTGTGGGAAGTAAGGGACTAGATGGTAGAGGGAATGAATAATTCAGTCCTCCGCATGATTCTTAAGCAAAGAATGGGCCAAATTATTTACAGGCCTATTCTGAGGCCGGGGGGGGGGGGTGAAATGCAGATTTAGCCAGTCTCTGCAGCCAGAAACTGCAGAGTTTCCAATGGGTCCTTGAAGGCGCAGAAAGGCAAACTTCCCTGAAAGCCACTTGTCAGAGATTGGGGGGGGGGGACCATACTATGGCTATGCTAAAGAACAGCAAGAGTTGGCATGATAAATACCCTAGGCTAATTTGCCTACATTCCACACCATGGCTTTTCAAGAGCAGGTGATAAGTGCATTTATATAAACTTCTCCCAAGCAGTTAATTTTCATCTCTGCAGAGAAGATCTGAAAACGAGCGTGCATCGTACCCAGAGCATCATGGGTTAGGCACAGAAAGCAAGGCCACTCTGGAGTGGTTACAGAGACCCAGTTCTGCTGTGACCAATGGCTCACAGAGGTGATAATGAATCCTTTAGTTTTGCTGGGTGAATAGGAGTTCACCGACAGGGACGAGATGTTAGTTATTTCCCACAGAATGCTCATGGAGATCTGGGCAGATTCTAAGGCATGATTTCATAGCTCTCAAAAATGAAGGCTAGCTGGGCGGTAGTAGTGCACAACTTTGGTCCCAGCACTCAGGAGGCAGAGGCAGGTGGATCTCTGTGAGTTCAAGGCCAGCCTGGTCTACAGAGCGAGTTCCAGGACAGGCTCCAAAGCTACACAGAGAAATTATACCTAAATATAATTCTCTCACCGACTTCTAGAACTGAACAAAACCGACATAGAATGATCCTGGCAAACTTTTGGTGGAGTTCTTACTACCCACCTGGCAAGCATCGTGAATGGGGAGGAGGCAGGCAGGACAGGGAAAGCTTTTGGAGGTGCCCACCCTGAGGAATGTGGATCTTGTCCTGAGGCTCTAAGGGACTTTTTAAAGAGACTCAGAAAGAAGAAAAGGTGACCAGAAGAGAGGCTCTGCTGGAACTCAATAGAAAGCTGAAGTGACAGGGCTGGTAGTGTGGGGACAGGGACAAGCTGAGACAGACCGGGGGATATTTATGAGTGACAGTAGTGCCATGTGACATAATCTCTAGCTGGTTGCTCTGGTTAACCCCTGAAGCAGGCTCCAGATTTCTTGGCATTACTTTTAACTAGATCTGGGGCAGAACCGTGTTAAAGTGGCATAGAATCACTGGAACAGGCATGTAAACAGAGGACAATGGTCTGGCTCTGACTGATCTCAAGAATGTAGACAAATGGGTTAAGGCGGAGCCGAGAGGGACAGGACATTAGCTGGATCTGCCATCTCATCTCCATCCTTCTGGGAGGCCATTACAAATTCCCTTTAGCCACCCCCTTAGTGACTGTCACGCAGGAGAACAGAATGTCAAGTTTTGTTAAGGCCAAAGTGGCAAAGCCTGGGCTCCAATACTTCCTAGAGAATTGTCTCAAGAATAAAAACTCTTTCTCTAGGGCCCAAATCCAAACTACATGCCCTTCCTCACCATCTAGGGGACTAAAGGGTTGCGTGGGAACCTCAGCTTCTCTTCCCATTCCATGCAAAATTGGAGCTAACAAATATTTAAGAAAATAATGTGAGAATGCACCACCTCTTGGGACTAGACACCTCCTGCCACCTCACTGCCCATGGGGAGCTGTGCTAACTTTCAAGGCCCAGTGTCCAAGCTGTTCCTCTTAGCTTGACTCCATCTCCTCAGCTTGCACAAGAGAGTGTGCAGAACCCTGTTCACAACCTCACGTTCACCTTCTTGCCCAGATGTTGCTGGTGGGAGGCTAGCACTAGGCCCAACATTGGAGATGTCCTAGAAGTCCATCACTAAAGAGACAGCCTGCCTTTAAGTGAGCATGGATCTTTGAAAGGCCCTAATATGTAGCTGAAATTTTCTACCACCAACTGTCTAGAAGCATGTTGACCCTGAGATAGTGGATGATTTTACTGCCTAGAACAGACCAAGTCAGGACAACTTTATTACTTTCGTTTCCCAGCTTTAACTGTTATTACTCTGTTTCCTGGATTTAACTGTCATTACTCTGTTTCAGGCTTTAATTGTTGTTACTTTGTTTCCTGGCTTTAACTATTGTTACTCTGTTTCCTGGCTTTAACTGTTGTTACTCTGTTTCCCAGCTTTAGTTGTTGTTACTTTGTTTCCTAGATGTAACTGTCATTACTCTGTTTCCCAGCTTTGTTACTTTGTTTCCTGGCTTTAACTGTTGTTACTCTGTTTCCCAGCTTTAGTTGTTGTTACTTTGTTTCCTGGCTTTAACTGTTGTTACTGTGTTTCCCCAGCTTTAACTATTGTTACTCTGTTTTCTGGCTTTAATTGTCATTACTCTGTTTCCCAGCTTTAATGCCCTGTTGGAGAAGTCTGGTCCTCAAGCCTACTCTTCCTTTGGAGTCCTTACAACTCTCTCTGAAGTTTGAATCCTACCCCTTATTCTGCACACCTATTCCTGTCCCAGAGTCCAGGAGGAGGGGCATGATGAGGTGCCAGATACCCATAGTGTCAGATACCCATAAATTTTTGTAGAATTACCACTTTTAAAATTTACTTATTTATATTTTATGTTTATCGGTGTTTTGCCAGGGGTGTCGAGACCCCTGGAATTGGGATTACAGACAGCTGTGAGCGGCTGTGTGGTTGCTGGGAATTGAACCTGGGTTCTCTAGAAGACCAGTCAGGGCTCTTAACCACTGAGTCATCTCTCCAGCCCCAGAATTCCTAATTTTTAATACTTTTTTATTCCCCAGATGTTTTTGTAGGAAACATGGAAACTCACAGAAGAAAACTTAGCATTGTGGAGTAACTAGCCATCCTACCAGCCAACAGTTGCATTTACTTTCATTTTTGTTTTTGTGGCTATGAAACTTTTTCACTCTGACCTTCCCCGTCATCGACTCTGATATTAATCACTGTTATGGTTTGGATTGAAAACATCTTCCAAAGGTTATGTGTTAAAGTCTGGGTCCCCAACACAACGGTATTCAGAAGTGGAGATTTTAGGGGAATGAGTGGATCACAAAGGTTCAGAAGTTATCAGTGGGTTAGCCCAGATGGGCTGTAGTTCATTGGTGGGGTACTTGTGTATCTGTGCTCAATCCCCAGGACCACATACATATATACAACAGGAAAGATGGGGGAGACAGATATGAAGGCTCACACTTATAATTGGCATGAGTTTGAGGTCAGCCTGGGCTATATAGTGTGTTCCAGACCAGTTTAGGTTACAGAGTAGACTTTATCTTCCAAACAAAAACAAACGAAGGATTCATCTATTGATGGTTCATACCTCCCTGGGCTATTGGAGATAATACAGACTTATCTGGCCCTCATTGAAAGATCAGGTGTGTCTTTAAAGGCATGCCTTTGGGGACTATATTTTGTCCCTGTCCTCTCTCCCCTCCATCCCTCCTCCCCTCCTTCTCCATCTCTCTTCCATCCCTTGCTCCTTCTTAAACACTACCAGGAGAGAAGCTTTTCACAACACCCCTTAATGCTTGGCCTCATGGAGGCCCAGAACAGCAGGACAAAGTGGCCTGAAGCACAACCTCTGAAACCATGAACCAAAATACATTTTCCCTCGGGTGTTTTGACACATGAAACAGAAAGAAGACAGTCATCTGTGACATTCTCTAGGATCCATATCATCACCCCCACTTTACAGATAAAGCATATGTTCTAGGTCAGACAGATTCTAAGTGGTTTGTTGTAGAAGAACATTGATCTTTCCATTGATCATCTTTCCATGATCATCTAATAAAACAGTGATATTTCCAGACACAACTCTAGAGTTTAGAAAGACAAATAAGGTATTGCAATGATCCTGTAAGAGTGTTTAGGTGAGGGACTCCATTCAAGGTGTGGGAGACTTGCTTTACAGGCTGAATCAGACTGCTGATAGGAAGCTTGGATGGAATTGTTTTTATTTTTTATTTTTTTAAAGAATAACAAGGTCTTTTGTTCCATCTTTCTGTCACCCCCCAACAGATACTGAAAAGTTGGTCAACTTGATGCAGTTGGCCCATCCTAAAATCAGTGATGTCACCAACAGCATGGAGCATGCTATTGTCTCCAGGAGCCCCCGGATCCGCTACAATCCTGGCCTGGATGTCAAGCTTCTCTATATCCCCCTGGCTAAGCTGCCCACCTCTGTGACAGATTTTATCCTGAGCCGATACTTGCCAAGGCCAGCAGATAGTGTTTGAGCTGGGGAGCTGAAGGGGTGTCCTGTGGGGCATAGAGGAGGGGGCAAAGGACTATGGGGTCACAAGAAGCATTATTATGTATCTTGTGGGCATCTGACACCCACTGCTGGCTTATGTCTCCCTGCTTCTGTTGGGGCCTCCAGAAACCTTATGTGGCTCCTGCTTATTTAGAGGGTTGCCATATAGACCCCAAGACACCTCTCACCAAGGCACATACATGTGGTCCCAGCCATGGAAAAGTCAAGGAGAAGAAAGCTGGTTTCTGTTGAATGACAAGCTGTGACCACCTCTGTAAAATACCATGAGAGAATCTAGTCCATGGGAGAAGCTCAACCCCCTCCCCACAGTTCTCTACACAAGTACTGATTTGTGCATATATGAAATATGTAATATAGCAGCAAGATCTGCCAGAGCATAGCCAGAGAATGTTTTAAGTTGTTCCCTTTTCTTTGTGTTCCTCTGTCCGTAGGTGATTGGGATCCATATACCACTTCTTTAATCACCATTGATTAATGTTTCAAGTATTTATTGAGTACTTACTCCCTACCAGGCACTGAGGTTCTGGGGGTATAGGAGGAGGATGAAATCAAGATCTTGGACTTTTTTTTATTGTTTATCTTGTGTTTTATTTTGTTACAATAGCTAGCAACAGAGATAGGATGGCGGGAGGAGGGACAGAAACCAGAAAATGAAACTTGGAGTTACAATATTACAGTTCCCAAACCTGGACTCCATCCTAACCACTCAATTAATTAAAGTGCATATGGATGCTGGAGAGGCAGCTCAGAGCCAGAGGATCTGGGTTAGATTCCCACTGTCCGAATGGTGTCTCACAACCATCGGCAATTCCAGTTCCAGGGGATCTGATGCCCTTTACTGATCTCCAAAGGCACCAGGAATGTACATATATAGAAGCTGGGCAAGGTGTCTCATGCCAGTAATACCAACACTTGTGACTAAGGCAGGAGGATTTTTGTGAGTTCAAGGGAAGAGCAGATTGAAAAATAAGACAGTGTCTCAAGAAACAAATAAACCCAGGAAAAAAATACATATGAATATTAATGTTAGACAACCTGATTCAATAAACCCAAGGCAGAGGCCAGCACTATGAACTGCTACCAAGGACTCAGGTGAGCCGATGTTCCTATGTACCTGGGAACCGCTGGGAATCCCAGATGAAAATCAGCTAATATGCTCAGAGTGGGAAGTAATTTACCCAAAGGCCCCCAGCTCGGTGGCCAAACAGAGCTCAAATATTCAGATTCCTTTTTCTAACTATAGGAGAATAACTTTAATGTCTTCAACTATGTCATGGACCTGAGTAATACATGTTCTTAAAAACAGCCATGAACTTCTGGGTTATATGAGCTTTTGCTGAAAGGGAACGATTTTTTTGAGATACTGAGTATCAAACCCAGATCTTGGTCATTCTTGAAAAATCACTCTACCGCTGAGCCACATCTCCAGCCTCAGACTTTCAGTTAGGACTTTACCAAGTAGCTCAGGCTGGCCTTGAACTTGCTGTAATTTCAACATTTCCTCAAACTCGTGATTCTCCTGCCTCCACTCTCAGAGTGCTGGGACTACAGACATGTGCCACCAGTCCCAAGAATAACAACGATGAAATAAATAAATAAGTAAAAATGTTAAAAAAATCTTGACTTTATGCAATAAAACTCAAATATGATTCTCTAAAGTCAAAATGTCTTATGTTTCATCAACATCTGGTTTGAGGTTGGAGATAAACGTGACTTTAGTTATTTCTGCAAACTCCTCCCAAATCAGGCAGTTGTCACAGATTCTAGGAATTAGCGTTCCCATCCCTGGGAAAGGAGGGGCACACTATAAAATCCACTACAGTTTGTCACCTCTATTCCCAGCACCAACTTCTGATTCTGGTAGAAAGAACTGAGGAAGAAACCACAGAAAGCCCGCTCCACTTGGCCTAAGTGTTAAATAGTGAGAGCAAGGCTCAGCAACCCCCCCCACGCCACCCACCCCCCAGGCTTGGCTCTGCCTGCTTCACCTCAGAGGCAGGACTGCTAATGTTTCTTCACTCCTGACTCACAGGGGAAACAACTTGCTTTCTATGGTGTTCTGGATACGGAAAGGTGTTTCCTCAGAGCCCCCATCAAGGCTTCTCATGGGATTCCTGTTGTGGATTATTATGTTAACCTGGCAATGAGGTGTTACATTTGTTCAGGCTGTGGAATATTACTATAATGGCGTAAAGGTGTGCTACATTTGTTTCTGCTGCATTTGATTAATTTTGTAAAGATGTGTTTCACGTTGCCTGCCTAAGCCACCTGGTTGGCCTAATAAAAAGCTGAACCGCCAATAGCTGGGCAGGAAGGAGATAGGTGGGGTTGGTAGGCAGAAAGAATACATAGGAAAAATCTAGGCTTGAAAAAAGAGAATGGACAGAACAGAAAGAACGAGGGAGAAATTCAGGGACATGTCTGGGACCAGAAGCCAGGCAGACGCCAGCCAGATACAAGAAGCAGTAAAAGCAAGACACACAGAAGGTAAGAACGGTTAAAAAGCCCATGGACCAAATGTAGAGAAAGAGAAACAGGTTCGGTTACAAGAGCTGGCAAGAAATGAGCATAAGGTGAGGCCAAGCATTCAAAGCTAATAAGAAGTCATGATTTGGGAGCTGGTTGGTGGCTTAAAAGAAACAACCTACAAATCCCAGGGACTCAAAGTGGCTTAGTCTTGTCCATCCCTGAGCCCATCTCCAATTAGGGTTCTAGTTGACATAAACTGTGTAGTTTGGCCATAGGAGAAGGGGTGTTGGGGGAGCTGTCATGATGCTTACTGCCCCGAGACGTTCAAAACTCCTTCCTCTAAGCTACCAATAGGGCTGAGCAAATGTGAAAAATAATAAATGTTCTCCACTAAGGGCATAGAAGCTTCAGGCATACATAGTGGTACATACCCCTAATCCCAGCTACGCCGTGTGTGTGCTCAGTAGATGAGGACCTGGGTCATGTCACAGGTACTCACGCGTCCCACCCTACAAGGCAGGAAGGCTGTAAGAGTCACGCAGTAAAAGGTTTATGCACTGCCCCACAGACATTTTTTTGAGTAACCTGTGTAGGTAGAAGATTTCATTTTAGAAGGTGGGAGTGTAGCTCAATAGTAAGCACCTCCCCTAGCACGCAGGAAACCTCGGGCTCAACCTGAATCATTTCAGCAAGGAAAAACAGTTCTTCAGTGTGTCGGTTAGAAAGGTACTCCTCTGTGGGAATCTGAGGAAGCCTCGAGAGAATGGTAAAGGCATGGATGAAGTCCCAAGTGAATATGTATTATTGACAGGGGCCAACGCCTCGTAACCATGGGTCTTGGCAAAGCCTTCCTTTGGTCCATGTGTGTGGATGTTGGCAATTTGTGCAGACTAATGGCCACAAGCCATTTCTCCCCAGAGTGCTCCCCTGCAGAGACCTCCCACCCAGACTAGCTAACTCCTCCCTGTGCTGTAAGAAGTACAGGGCTTCCATTCTGGGGGTGCAACAATTGGTATAGGACAGGTACCACTCCACCACAGAGTGCCACTCCATCAGAGAGAACCTATCCCACCCAACCCAGCTCTTCCCCTTTCTTCATTCTCTTGTCCCTTGTCCCAGGCAGTGCTTACAGTAGCTGAAGCATTTTTGAGTTTGTGAACGGAGATTCTTAGTCACTTCAATGTCATATTTTACTTTCATCTCATGTTAGGATGGTGGTGATCTTTTTTTTTTGTAGCTATTTTCCTAGTTTTAAATTGCCCATGTTAGGATGGTGGTGATCTTTTTTTTGTAGCTATTTTCCTAGTTTTAAATTGCCTTTTTTTTTTTTTTTTTTTTTTTTTTTTTTTTGATGCTTAGTATAATTCTTATTAAGTCAGAATACAAAGTAACAGGTGTTTTCCTTTAAAAACAAAAACCAATTATTTCTTTAAAACTTTTTTTGAGACCAGGTAAAGTAGCCCAGCCTTCACACCTTTAATCCCAGCACTCAGGAGGCAGAGGCTGGTGGATCTCCATGAATTCAAGGCTAACTTTGTTTATATAGTGAATTCCAGGGCAGCCAGGGGTATAAATTGAGATCCTGTCTCAGAAAAAAAAGTTTTATTTAGTCTTTGATAGCTTCATGCAATATATTTCTATCATGCTCACCTCCCTCCCCCAGTCCTCCGCCACCTCCCTACCCAAGTCCATGGTCTCTATCTTAAAACAAAACATGGGTTCACAGTTCAGCTTATGTCCTGGAGGGTGGTCAATATAGCAGACGTCACTCATGGAAGAAACTGAGTTTCCCTGTCCCAGCAGCATTGAAACTCCAGTGGCTCCTCGGCTAGGGTGGGAGCTCAAGCCCACTCCTTCTCTCTGTTCTGGAATCTTTGACCCTGTTGTATGTGGGAAAGTTTCCCTGAAGTCACCTGGCACCTCTGGCTGGTCCATCTTTTCTGCCTTCCCCTTCCTCGTGGACCCCTGAGCTTTGACAAGAGAGGCTCCAGGACACAGACATTCCATTTAGGGCTGAGCATTCCCATGCCTCTTAACTCTCTGTATGGCAACCAGTCCTGAGTTTCTGTTTCTTGTCATCTCCTGCAGAAGATGAGGGTTGAATGACGTACCGATTTTATGGTTATTGCAACAGTTTATTGAGTTTTTCATTTGCAGTGGCCACTGACAAGAATAACAGTAGTAGATTTCCCCCTAGCGACCTATGGCCACAGGTTCTTGGCCTTGTTGGCAGGGTCAGATATGGGTTACATATGGGCCTTCAAGCCCATCTTTGTACTGGTGCTACTATTGCACCAGGGGGCGTACCTTGCCAGGCAGACTGTTGTTATAACTGGCAGGGTCCATAGCTGGGTGAGATTGATGCTGATTCCTTTTCTCTGCCTGTCTGCACTTTCCAGTACTATGTATTGTCTGGTATATTACCTTAACTATTAAAGGTGTGTTAAATTTGTTTATGCTGCATTTGTCTAACTAGGCAAAGATGTGGTGCTTTTGTTTAACTGTGTAAAGATGTTTCACTTTGCCTGCCTAAGGCCCCCGATTTGTCTAATAAAAAGCAGAATGACCAATAGCTAGGGAGTAGAGGGATAGGAGGGGCTGGCAGGCAGAGAAAATAAGTAGGAGAAATCTAGGCTCATGCTGTGAGAAAGAGAGAGGAGAGAGATGAAGGAGATGCCTGGGACCAGAAGCCAGGAAGCTGCCAGCTAGCTAGACAGAATGAAAGTAAGGTTAAAAAGTCCAGAGACAGAACACAGATGAAGAGAAGCAGATTAAAACAAGAGCTAAGAGGAGGCCGAGCATTCACAACTAACAAGAAGTCTCTGTATCATGATTTGGGAGCTGGCTGGTGACCTAAAAGAAAGTATGTTATGACGGATGAACGCAAGCCAATAGGTATAAAGCTCCCGACTGAGTACCAGTTAGATTTCTCCATGTCCTGTGACTCAAGTATGTAATATCTTCCACAATAGGGCCTCACCATGAAGCTCTGGAGTGAGACCAAGAGCATTGGCTGTAGCCTGTAATGTTTGTGGGGCAGGGGTCTATGGGAACTATTGGCCAACAACTCAAAAGGAGGTAATCCATTCTGGGTACT